TCTGGATCAAACTGGCCATTCAGCATACCGAATGGCTCATAAAACTATAGACCTTCATTAGGAATATGGGCTTATACTTCTTCAAAAGAATCTCTCTTAATAATTTATTTTTCTCTTTTCTCTTTTCTTACTATCCACAGCTATGAACTGGCCTTCAACACACAGAGGCAATACAGTAGCTGCCAATACTTGTAAGTAATTATAAGGAGGCTTTACAAGGGGAAGATGAACAGTCCTTAACTTATACCAGAGTGCCACAGTCTCAGGGAACCAATTAAAAAAATACTCTCCAGAGAGTTTTGGAAGCAAAGCCATTACATTTTTGCCTTGAAGCATGGTTTAACATCAAAGTCACAGTACACACATGATAGAGAGCATCAGAAGACATGTTACTGAGGTCAGGCAAGCTGAAAAATCAAACATGCTCGTTGGTTCCTCAAACAGAAAGAAGAAGAGGGACAGAGAAGACAGTAGTGACAAGGCAGCTGCAGCACTGTGCAGAGGGTGCTCAGGAGGCAAGTAGGGATTTGGCAGTATGGTTCCTTTTCAGATCAGTTCCAAAGCAGCAGCCTCACAGGAGCAGTACCAGTAAAAGTACTCAGTCGCCATTTCTTTAATTGCATACAGACATATGTTCTGAACAATATGCTCTTTTTGTTAGAAGACATAATGCAAGTAATCAAACTCTATCACCTTTATTAATTCCATGAAGTGCTTTGGATTAAAAAAATGCTCCTTCATAGCAAGATGAAGTGCTACTCAGGACAATAGAAGTATAAGCACCATCAGGCAGCCACCCTAAGCACCTTTCACACACACCAAAGGAGATAGGCTTATAGCCAATGCAATTCACAGTACCAGGCTTCCTAAGGTAGGCACCTGCATTTGCTCAAATATGCCTGGCCTCTCAGTCAGCTAGAGGGTTCTCACTCACTGAAACAGATGCCTAGACAGCTTGCTCAGGTGTTAAAACAGCTAAGCAATAAGGTTCCCACACAAGATGACAGAATTCATCACCAGTAACACCTGCTTGTACAAAGGAAATGGAATGCATTCAACTAATTAATGAAAGTTCACCATCATATTTTGAAATAATTCTGATACCAAGTAACCAAGTAATTCTGAGAAACTCAGCCTACTTAACCAGAGTCAAGAGTAAGCTGTGTGTCCACCACTGCAAGTACTAGTTACGCAGCTTCCCCATCAGTTAACGTATTTTAAAAACATGTGCACACTCACTTCCTGCTTTACACATCTTCACATTCATTAAAAATAACTTAAACCATCATTTTACAGTTCTCTCAATTTATCAAAATCAAAACCACAGCATCGCAGCTTAGGAAATTTTAGTGGTCTTACACTTGTTTTCAATTTGCCAAGTCTGTGTTATTACACTTCCCTTTAACTGATCAAGGCAACAGACAGATGTGAGATCCTGGGGTATGATTAAAACTGACAGAGTTTGTATGTGACAGAGCTGACTTGCACTCTAAAAGGAATTTCCCCATTTGAGTTACTCTCCAATTTTAAGAAAGTCTGATCACTCATAATGTTTAAACAAGCAAAACAACAGACAACGTAAATATCTGAAATTCTACCTAGACTTCACAAATCAAAAAGACCAGCATAAGAATGCATTTCCACAATAATGGTTTTTACAACAATGACTAAACATTGAACCAGCATAAATAGAAGAGCATGAAAACACAAGGATAATACCAATGAAAATACAGCAAGTGTCATTTTGGAGATAGGGTCAGTCTTGAGACCTTAGTTTATTCTTGAATAACAGAAAATTCTCAAATTAGAAAAAATCCTCTTCTCACTTTAAATGCAGAAAAATGCATATATATTCAATTATAAAATGCTGCAATAAGAACACAGAAACATTTAACGTATATCATGTGACCTTAAGAATTTTAAGAAATCAAATACATGAAGCAAAACCCCACAGTTGTAAGTTTTCAGTCTCTGATCATCTGCAAACATAACTGTTCTCCTAAAATGGATTAGCAAGGGCATAAAGCAAAATTTAACTCCTAGTCTTTATAAATTCCTTGCCTTCACATGTCAAGAACAACTCTCCAACTTTATTTTGCATGCAGATCTACTACACAGAGTTGCCACTGCTTTTCAAAGGCCAGCCAGATTCTGGAACAGCTTCCATATCATTGCAAACATTGAGGGGAAAAAAATGACTTATTAGCAAAGAGTCTGTAAAGGTCTGCTGATACAGACCAGCCCTGGGTTTCAGCAGATCAATGCTTGAACAGTAATAGCCAAATGAGCACCAGCAAAAAAGCCTCTCGGTAGCACATTCTTAGAATATTCCTATGCAACACAGTCATCTCAAAAACACACCTAAAAGGTGGAAGAATATAATATTTTGCATGCAGGCCTGGAGAGTTCTGTGTCCCTTTTATACTGTCTGTCTTGTAGTATTTTAATAGTATTTAATTTCAGAGGCAAACAGCATGCCCAATTTTGGCAGGAATACATTGACAGACTATTACTGTGTAATCATGGAAAGAATTACACTGACATCAAAACCACAATTATTTAGTTGTATGAAATCCAGAAAGTGTAGCCAGAAATTTCAGTTTTCAAAACCAAACCTGCTCCACAGTAATGTTTATGCTCTTAGAGAGTGGTATCAGTGCTAAACTAAGCAAGGACACTGATCAGTAGCCAAAGATAGAGTGTCTGTTCCTTATCTTTCCAAAAGAGAAATCTCAATTAAAAGCAAGCTATGGGTCATCACCAGTATCATGGATTAAACCCAGCTATTGCTAATGCACCTAAACAGCGTCTTCATGCACCAAACAAACGTTAGGAAAAAAAATAGACCAAATAATCACACCCCACTACAGTGTGCCTGCAATTTGATAAGTAGCAACCTAAATGGTCAGATATTGCTATCCAGTTCCAGAATAGCACCAGCAGAAGTTTACAGGTAAGACCTAGGGTAGCAGTCAGGAGGGACTGCAGCATATCAAACTAGAAGCATAAAAATAGGAACAGCCAGGAGTATTTCCTGCTTGACTTCGGGTTTTATGTTCTGTGAGACATATATGCCAATCTATATGCCTTGGGAAGGGCTTATTTCCATTGATGAAGTGGTAAATATCCTCAAACTACTTCTGGCATGGGTTCAGACATCATAGGATACAAATAAAAGAACTGTCTACTGTTTTCTAAATTGGGAGTTGGGTGGGTTAAGGCTTCCATTGCAGTATGGTAACATGCTACCTCAAACTGCCTATGAATACACAAGAACAGTTATAGCATACCTGAAAGCATAACCAAGAGCCAAGAGGCACATATGTAATAGCTATGCAGGTGTCAGATATGCAGTAGAAACAAGGCACTTCTCATTAGAGCAAAAGCACTCAGACATTCAGTATGGCAAACTTTTTCCTTCTGCATTAGAATTCACCACACAGACGGCAGGAATTCTCCTTTAAGAATTTCCAAGCAGCAGTAAATTGGTCAAATGACAGCTAAAGCAAAGTCCTACAGAAACATTTCATAAAATTTGACTATATCTTACTACATCTAGTAGTTAGCCAGACTTTTCTAGAGTGAGCATATTTTCTTCCTGTTATCTCAAAGGTGTTCAAACATGGCAAATGCAGCATTAGCTGGTTTATCTACTTGGAAACTCTTCGCAAAACATCAAGATCTATGGCATTCCACCCCCAAGGCAAGCACAGCTTTGCAGTTGACATACCTACTGGATTACTGTGCCTCTGAGCATCACAACAGAGTAGTTGACAATATCACAATACCTAACTGACCAATTTGACTGCAAAAAGCAAGCTGTACCATTATTCAACAAGGTGGACTTGTTTCAGGGTACAGTGTCAAATGTTCTTCTACAGTGTCAAATGGTACTTATCATTGAACTAACTGCAACCAGGTAAAAGTCAATCGACATATTAGACTTAATTTGACACTGTTGAGTTACAAACCGAAATTCAGGTTTCCCCCCCCCCCAAAAAAAATAAAAATAAAACCAATAAAAAAGAAGAAGAAAAGAGACTTTAACAGGAAATACTCCCAAAGAAGGAAGCTCGCCTTAGGTACACTGCTTTGTGTGTATTTGTGACTAAAGAAAAATTGTTACAGCATTTACATTGAGGAAGTTCAGTTGCTCAACACTACATGTAAAAAGCATGGGTGATACAAGATAAGCTAGTTTACATCAACTTGTTTGGCAGGCTTTACAAAAGCTTCATTGTGGATTTAGATTGTAAAGCCTGTGCACACCCTAGAAAGGAACAAGCTATAAGGACTTTCCAGTAATAGTAACAGGCAACTGGAGAGAATTATGCTCTTTCACCTCACCTTCTATAGTTCTGCTTAATTGAAAGTTTTAGACTTAACTACATCCCCCAGTTCATATACATATGATCCAAAGGAATTCCTTAGCTGAGGTTCTGAAAAAAAAAATTAAAAAATCAGTTGACTCATATGAAAGAGGAAGGAGGTGGCAAAAATAATAAAGAAAAAAATCTTTTATTTTGCTCACTTGGCCAAAAAGCAACCAAAGTAGCAAGAAGAGGTTTAGAGCAAGAGAGAGCATATACCTGTGAAAGACGAAATTGGACACCTACTACACTAACAACCTGCTCTTGTGACATTATTCACCCACTGCTTCAAGGAAACCACGCTTTCCAAAATAAACCTGAGTTGTGCTGCAACAGTGTAGGAGAAACTGAGCTGACAAGTTTGTAAGAACAGTTACTTAATCGGGATGCTACTCCAGACCCAGAAGTCTGAAGAAGTTGGGATAAAGTTGCTAAAAATTGCCAAGAGAGAGAAAGTACTTCCTGCCCTCCCCTTCCCTCCCCACCCCTCCCCGACTAAATTAAAGCATAGGTAAGTGCAAAGAAACTCAGCCTTGGTACTCCTCAAAGATAAGGTGAGGACAACAGGAAACACCACTAGGATGAATACCAGTATCACGAATGCACTGTAAAACCTTTTATTCAGCGTTTTATTTATTATTTATAGGATCAGAGTAGTAATCTTCACAGTATTTCTCACATAGGCCATCAGCAGGATCAAGAACTCCATTTTCCTTGCCCTTCTGCATAGCTATCTATTTTCTAAGAAACTGGCTCCCTTGTGCAGAAAGCTCAACAGTCAAAAGGATCTGAAAGAGACAATCAGAGGGGAAAAAAAGACCAAAAGTTAGTGGGAGAAGATGAAGTCATAGGGAAGAGATTCTTACAGGAATTCTCTATTCAGATTGGGTTGGCTGTAGGTACATAGAGAAGACGATGCTTGAGCTCTTTAAAACTTTAGGAAAAAAAGAAATACAGGTTCTGTCTATGCCAACAGTCACTAATCTTCATTAGATTTTAAACCAACAAACAGATACAGACTAAGCAAGCTAGCATGCTGCTAGCAATAGGATATTGTGTTCTTCTTGTCAGTCTGGGCAGCAGTGACAATAGCACCCCTATCCACAGCATTAGAAACCTTCATGATAAATGTTGCTTGGAGGAAGTCATCTTCCCAAACCCAGTTTGGTTACCATGTGTCTATCTGTTTCATATCTTAGCCCCATTAACATGAACTTTAATATTTTATGTTTCCTGGAATATTTTCACTATTTTATCTGCTTTCACAGCAGGTACACATCATAGTATACAGTACCTTATAATTCACTTTCTGTTCACAATGTTTTTCGATCCACATTCTGTATATATCATGTTCAAACACAAAAGAATCAGATTGACTGCACTGGTCTTTGAGTTAAAAGCATGCTAGCTGAGCCAGGCTACCAGAACTTCCCTCTCTAGTATACAGCTAAAGAATAGACTTCATTGGCAGTCACAAACACTGAGCAAAGCTGTGCAAAGACAGAAGTTAATTCATCAAGACACAGATGAACTGATCCTGTATTAGTGACACTTTTTATCATGAATATTTTCTAGGTTACTTATGTTCAAACGCCAACACTAACTGCACAGTTCTGAAAACCAACAGAATCCAGCTGGGCTCACCTGGGCAGGCACAGACCAGCCAAAGTCCCAGACTCACACTTCTTGGAGAAGACAAAAGTCCCATCAGTCTGCAAATGTTGTAGAGTATAAGATACATATGAAAGAGTAAGGCATTGAATCATGTATTTATAGATTGCTATTAATGCAGTAGTTGAATTAGACTATCTGGTAGCCCTCCTCTCTTCAAAGGAGAGTCAAGGCAATCAAAATTCAGGCATCTTTCCGCAAATAGGACCTCTGTTTTCAGATAATATTCTAGTCTCCCATTTCAGTATTTGTTATACTACTTTTCAATAAAATACCTTTTCCTTGAAAGTTTTGGATGAAAGTCAATAGCAACACTTCTTATTTCTATCCTGTAAAAGGAAAAGACCTGGAATTATATTTTAGGCAAGATTAGGTTTCATGCCAGAGCCACTATTCATTTATTGCAAAGTTTTCAAAAAGCCACTTATGCCATCTTGTCACAAAACTGCAACTTCCAATACTGTGGAGGAGTCATAGAATCATACAAGTTTATGTCGAAAGGGACCTCTGTGGATCACCTAGCTCAAGACAGGGTCAACTAGTGCAGATTGCTTAGGGACATGTCCAGTTTGGTTTCGGATACCTCCAGGACAGATACTCAATTTCTCCAGGCAGTTTCTTCCAGTGCTTGGCCCACCTCATCATTTACAACAACATAATCGAAAAAACCCCAACCCCAAACAACACACACCCTCTCAAGTTTAAATGAAGTTTGTTGTATTTCAGTTAGTGCCCAAATTAAGTGTTCATACATCTCGGCATCCTCAAACTATGATAAGGATGTTCAACACACCTGAAACTCTCACTTAAGACGACTCCTGGCTACCCACAGACCTGGTTTAAACCAAGACACTATTTGTTTAAATGAAAAGGCAACAATACTAATATTTAGCCTTAGCCAGAAACCAAGACTATTTATTTTAATGAAAAGGGAGCAATGCTAATATTTAGATTTAGCTAGTGTCAGCAAAAATTGTCCTCCTACTTCTATGCAGAAGAGCAATCCTTTCAATTTTATCCTTCACCTGGAAAACTAATGTCCTGTCTCTGATACAGAAGACTGTAATGTTTCTCTACATCTATTTTTCAGGTACATACACATTCCCCAGTGACAGAGATTCCCACCTCACCACTTGATCACAATACTGAAAGAAGCTTTAACAAAATTCAAAATATTTCCTCTATAACTCTTCTCCCATGAAACAAATTTATTTTAGCTACAATGTATTAAAGAGTTTTACAGCCACACCCCATTCCACCTATTTGTTCCTTCCTTTTTTTTTTTTACTAAGAAATAAGTCATGTTCTATTATTACTGGTACTTTGCCCCATGGAGTCTAGTTTAATCGCAACAGCCAAAAAAAAAAAAAAAAAAAAATTACTGAGTGCACAACAGCAAATCTTGCTTCCTCAGTATCTTTTCCCCTTTTTTGATACAGTTAGCCTTTCTCAAACTATGAACTGTATCACCTTGCAGTACACATGTGTAGGGGTTTGGTGTATTACAGGAATAGCAAAGGCTGTAAGCAACTGAACTTCTGATACCAGAAGAACAGAGGCAGACCCCATGCTTTACCTACATCACCCCATTCAAAAGAACGTTCTTACATTTCTTCATACACACTCCTGTCAGTTGTATTTTACACTATCTTAGGGTTTGGTTGGACGTCCTGAGGTTGCCATCTTAAGTTTTGCAAATGGAAGTTTTATTTGACAGAACTTCAGGCAAGGGAGCAGAAGCTGGTTCTAATGCAGCTGCAGTAAGAACTCTCACAAGGCAGAAACACAACAGCTTTCTTGATCTACAATTTGCAATAGACTCTGGGCATATACTGACACTGAACCCTAATGCATTTCTTCATTCAAAACTGAGCTTTGCAAATGCCTGTTGAATTATCTCAGTCTACAAACTCTTACCTTCCTGTCTCTCCAAGTAAATCAGGACAGAACCAGAGATGAGATAGACATTTACTGCTCATAATCCAGGAACTCAGTGGGGAAAATAGAAACATCAACATATAACCTCATCATTAGGCTCAGACAGATTATTTCTTGGTGTTTCTCCAAGAAGTCAAATATCTAAATACTTCTACAAGCATCAGTTTTTAGAAAGTCAATCAGACTGATTGCAGTGCAATCAGGCTTTCTGAAGATATATTGAAATGCTATTTTAACAGACATTTAGTCACAATGTCTAGAAAACAATTCTGTCAAAAGATACTGCTTTAGTAGTTTCCAGAAATAAGAGACAAGCCATATATGCATATCTAGAATTGCACTGTTAGTAATACTGGTATTCAAAACTCCCATTTTTACAGAATAATTCTTCAAGGTACCAAGGTTTGAAAAGTCCAGCACATCTATTTTGCAATGTGAAAGTACTCTTCCAATAAGAGTCACATTTGAGATTTTGGTGGGTTTTTGGTTTTTTTGTTTTTGTTTTTTTTTTTTTAATGAAGAAAAAGGTGCTATGCATTACTCACAAGTAGTCTGCCAGCAGACCAATACCTGTGTGACACTTCAGAAATGTTTCATCCATCTAACCACAGCAACTGGCTCACTCTTGAACTTAAAAAAAAAAAAAAAAGGTGTGGTTCATCCCACTGCTGTGTGAGAAAGAAGATAAGGGAAATCTCACTACTGCAAAAGGAGTATATAACACCACTGCCTATATGCTTCAAGTCTCTTATCAGTAATGCAAGCAGTAGAATGATACTAATTTCACTATAACTCCACAGGCAAATGCAGGATTTGTAGAGGTTCATACGTCTGCTTTGATTTCATAGAAACCAAGGTTCAGCCCTTGCAGCGAGAATAGTATTTGAGTCCTGACCATACAATTAAGAAATTTGCTTTCCTTTGTGGCTTCACCATGCATATTGCAAACTCTTCCTGTCATGTGGCCAAAGGTCACAAGCTAACTTTCCTATCAATAACACATTTGCCCTTGCAGATACCTGTCCTTTTAACATATTGTATCTAGAAGAAAACCAAGCCACCAGAACTGGTTTTGTTAACTGGTGCATAAGTTGGTAAACAGCACTTATCTCCCGTCACTCACTATATTGGGGAACTGTGCAGACAGCCCATCCTCTTCTGGCATGCTGTAAGGTCTCACGAATCCCACTAGAAGTCCATTAACCAGAAGTCACAGTTGTACCATATCTCCCTGTTATGTTTCAGTTAAAAGCTGTATCGTCAGTCAATTTCCCCATTATCAAAACATAACCCTACCTGAGCTCAACTCTTTCTCCATCATAGAAAGAGAATTCCATCTTTTGTCAGTAGAAAAGATGGACAATCCAGGTGGTCATGGCTATATAGAAGTTCTGAAAAATGAGTTGTCTGATTTCAACGCTATGATTAAGCACACTTGTTGTGGCATCATCTTAACCCAGGAAGAGCTGCTACAGTTCAAGCAGCACCTTCCTTGGCCCAAGACTGCTCTAACAACAAAAGCTCAACTCCACATTTGCCTAAAATTGTTATGCTCCAGTTAGCTCAGTACTTACCTTCCACCTATCCTTGTTTCAGGTACCAGGCCACGACAGGGCCTTAGTTCAGCAAATGTTCTCAGAGTACACCAGACACACATAAACAAGAGCAGGTTCCTTATACAATGCAACTGTGCCAGCTCACCTTTTGCAGTAGCAGAAAGGGCCCAGTTTAAGTGGTGTTTACCACCTGATTCTGTTCTATACCATCTTCAGTCCGAAGAGATCTAAACCTTTATCTCCCATCTCGAAAGAGCACGAGTTTCAAGGAAGAATGTAAAACAGACCAACTCTCTTTAGCCCAGTAGTTGAAGTAACTGCGTGGGAAAGACAAAGCCTGAGGTCTAGCTTCCACTTCAGCATATTTTTGCATTTTGCACATGATAATTAACTTTAAAAACATATGGCACTAGGATTTTCTCCAGGGAGGGGGACATACAAGTCTGCCTGTTCTCAGGCAAACAAAATCCAAGTGTCCCATTTTTGGGTGAGGCCTCTCCAAATAAAACAAAAGCTATTGCGTAAAAATAAGGAAAGGGAGTGAAAGATGGTAAGGAACAAGCACTACGGTTACTTTCTTTAAAGTTCATCTAAGAAAAGAGGGACAAGGATTCCTCAAAATTGTGGAGAACTACAGGACCCCAGAAGAGGCCACACTCAACATAAAACTTTCATCTTAAGCCAAGAGTTGGCACAGTCCTCACTAAGGAAGCCCACCTCTCTGGCTAACTTTCATGTATCCCAGGCCTTTACTGGCCTTGGGTCTCCACACATTCCAATGCTAAATAATATGGCTGGCAAAGGTTAAGCTGAGAAGGAAGAGCTGCTTTGAAAATAGAGAAAGTAACATAGAGAACACAGTACTGAAAGAATCATGGTGTTATAGCTAAAGGCCTCTAACTTACTACCTTTGATGAAGAGAAATGTACTTCTGTCAACAACCTGGAAGACTTTTCACACAGCACCAAAGTAGTCCTTGGGAAAGCTCTGACTGTGCTCTTGCTAAAAATAAACATCAAGCAAAAGCGTTAGTATACAGAGATCATTAGTTTTTCCCTCTTCTCAGTAACAATCTTGTCAGACAGCTGCTTGGAAGGCTTTCCTCAGCACCGCTATTGGCACACAGCTGCTAACTCATGGGAAAAGTGCACCTAAAAGTGTGGCAAGAGCACCTGAGAACAGGCATAATGAGGTGAAAGTTCAAAGCATAGTGCAGGTTCTCTCAGACAACAGATGAAAACTGCTATGATACTGTATTGCCTGTGGATTTACTCCCTCACAAAAATCCCAACGGCTCTTCTACTATTAAAAACAAGAAATAAAAAAGAGTGAGAGAGAGCACATTGACTAACACTGTCTCAGAGTGAAAGAGCAACGTGTTCGTTTTGACATGTATATTTTCACAATGCTCATGGACTTCTAAACAATCCACATGAGCATCTCACAGTGGATCTGCAAGCATACCAGAACAAGTCACAGGTAAAGTGGAAGAAGTTCTTCCATGTATGAAGTTGTCACTGATTAAATGCAAGCCATAAAGGAAAAATGCTGTTCCACCGGGATTCCAAAAAGAGCATTAATGGTAACTATATACTTCTTACTTAACAGGTTATACCAATCACAGGACATAGACCCTTCAAGCAGAAGTCAATCAGTACCAGCACATTCCAAGAGATAAGCACTGTGAAGGAGAGCAAACTTTTCCAGGTAGTGTGCAGTATCTACACTGCAAATAAAGTGTACCTCAAATATGACTAAGCATGTCCATTTCATTTAGCACCCACTCGCCAGCAAACACGGGACAATGTGTGCACAAACAATCCAACCAACTATCCAAGCTACCTATTGGAAGAGTAGCAGCACAAGCCACAGGCTGCATATATCAACCCTCCTGCATGTCTCACCAGGTTGAAACTCACCATCAGCACATCTTTTTCACCAAGCAGAAGGTGCTCCAAGGGAAACTGAATTTTTTTTCTTTCCGTGCCAACTTTCTCCTGCACCTTCTGCTCAAAGCACCAGGACTCTGAAAGCATCATTATCCCTGAGTAATATAGCCAAAAAAAGTGGAGACGGCAATGAATATACATGAATACAAAACAAGTGGCCTGGGGTGATGCTTTTGTCATCCATTCAGATTTGGGTATAAAAGAGGTACTGACTGTAAATGCACACCTGCCCAGTGTGTCAAAGTGACAGGAGACAAACAGTCCTTCTTAGTGACAAGCCTGTTCAGACCAAATGCGACGGCAGGATGCCTCACACTCGCACTGGTACCTTCCCCACTGCAAACCATCAGGATTAAAAGTCCCAACACTGGTTCCTTATACTGCCTTTTCTAGTCGCGGCTGCTTTCTCGGTGATGCTCCCTTCACACCTCACCTCAGTACAGGTTTAGCTGATTTCTCAGGAATTCCCGGTGCAGGTTACTATCAAACAGTCCAAATCCGAGACATAAAAGCACTGCACCTCCCCGCCTCGCACACACCGGTTGAAGAACACCCCAGACCCAGGGGACAAACAAGCCCTACCCACGGGGCGGTGTGTCCGCCCCTGACCCTGCTGGGGGCTGTCAGGGTGGAGCTCCAGCCCGGCGCGGACTGTGCGGGGAAGCGGATGCCGGACACGATGCTGGAAACGCACCCGCGGGGATGCGCCCCGGCGGCCCGGGAGGGAAGGAGGGAGCGAGGCAGAGAGGGAAGGAGCGAGGGTCGCCGTAGCCAGCGAAGGCGCCGGGCAAACTCACGCTGAACCCTCCACGGCCGCCGCTCCCACGCACGGCCTCAGCCACGGCGGGTCTTCCCCGTCCCCTGTCCCCGCGCCCTCGAGCGAGAGGAGCCCCCGCTGTTACCTGCCCGGTGATGCCGGTGATCAGAGCCACCTTCCTGCCGTTCATCTCCTCGCCGTCGTCTCCCGGTGCCGCGGCGGCGCGGGCACACGCCCCCTCCTCCGCCGGCCGTGCCATCCCCGCGGCGCTGGCGGCGGGCGCGCCCCAGGTGCGGAGGTATCCCGGGGCGGAGGCGCGGCCGCCGGCGTCAGGCTCGCGGCGCTGGGGGCGGGCACGGAGAGGGATGGAGGATGCCAGCAGCCACCCGGGCGCTACCTGCGCTGCCCCGGCCGCCGCAGCCGCAGCATTTCCGCGCTCGCCTCCCGCCGCCGCTCCCTCCCCGCCCCGCCCCGCCCGCAGGTGCGGCCCCCCCGGCAGGCGCGCTCCCGACGGGCGGCCCGGGAGCGCGCCCCGCGCCAGGAACCGCTCCCGCGGCGCCGCTCGGCCCCGCAGCCAATCAGCGGCCGCGGCACTTCCTTAAAGGGACGGGAGAGGCGCCGGGGCCCAGAGCGGGAGCGGGGATTGGTTGAGAGCGCGCGGCGGGGGGCGTGGCCCGGGACCGCGCAGGAGGCGCGGGGCTGGCACTTCCTGAGCGCGTGCCGGGGAGGGCGGGGCGGGCGCACAGCGCCCCCAGCGGCGCGGAGGGCACCGGGCTGGGCGGGGCGGGGCGCACAGAGGGTTCTCCCGGGCGTTCCCGCCGGTCGCTAGTGGCCCAAAGGCTTCTGGAAAAAAAAGGGATTTGTAACAAATATGTCTTCCTCTGGTGAGACGCTGGGTCAGCATCCCGTTTCCCGAGGCAGCAGGTTGCTGTGTGTACAAGGAAGAAGGTGCCTGCCCGCTTGCTGTTAATCCACGGAGGCTGTCATACCAGTTTTTCTCAATGTATGCTTGGATGGTGATGCCTCTACATATGCAGACGATTTTCTTACTATATTTTTTCTATTGTTACAACTTTCTATGGTGCATGGTCAAAAACTACTCTTTTTTTTTTTTTTCTCAGTGACACTGAAAACCCATAATATATTTTTCTTTAAAAATGTGGAGTCTGACAGCATGCTGCCTTTCAAACGGAACTGCACTCTCACACTGTGATTGGGTTTTTTTGCGCACTAATCCCCATGCTCTCAGTTTCAATACCCTTTCTGCAGCCTCGCAATCTGTGATGCCGTGGAGAAATTGTATTATGTCACAGTTACTTACTTGCAATATGTAATCCCAATTGTACATTCTGTGCAATCTGCATCCTGTTTCTGAAAACTTTTCCCAAGCACATGCAGTTTTATAAAAGTTGGCAACAACAGCTACTACTTGTGAAAACTGATTTCATTCCACTAGTGATTGCTGTATGCGTGTACAATTTCAGATTCAAAGAGGCGGGACAGCAAAAATAATATGAATGCCACCCTCTCAGTTCTAAAATAGCACTGAAAAAATAAAAGGATATCAAATTCTGAGAGTTTCGGGATTCCATTTAACAGAAATAACAGACAAAACTTTATTTGAAAACCTACGATTTGAGATTAGTGGGAGTTTTCTTTCTCTACCTATTTAAACACATCATTCCCTCTCCTGTTAGATCTGAGCTGCATAAAGCAATGCATGAGCCTTATAAATTGTCTTATATGTGTCCAGATAAGCTTGCCATTTCTAGCTTTTATTGGCAGTCCATTAAATGCGCTGCAAAGTCAGTCTTGCCTTCTTCCTTCCTCTGCTCAAGAAAGCAGTGACTAGGGCTGACAATGCCTGAAGTCTTGAAGCTGGGCTAGAGCAGCCCACATCCCTGGAGCCTACATGTGCAGTTAAGAGCCTTTTTTAAATTACTTTCTCCATCAGAATTTCTCTGTACCCCAGTTGTCCAACATCCCCCAAGAATTATTTTTCAGATGTAACCTTTTCCTTGACTGTTATTCCCAAAAGCACTCCACTGAGTGGGGAAGCTGGTTCACACCTTCCAAAAATGATGACCTTGTGCATGGTATTAATCTCATGTGACAGACACCTTTGGCTCTTCCCCTGGTCAGAGCAGTAGCTTTCCTTCCTACTCAGTGTGCACATTCTCGAGTGTACAGAACAAAAGACTCTGCAGTCTGTGACACTTTTGTAAAGGGAGCATCTCAGCTCTAGCTGAGACTTAGCTGAGAACATTTTAGCAAGGTTCATACTTGTATTTTTTGTCAATACTAATACTAGAAGCAGGAAGGTAAAGCCAGACAGGATGCAGCCCAGTTTCAGTTACAGCTGACTAAAGGAAAAAAAAAAAAAGAAAAGAAAAAAACTTGTTTAAATTTCTGTCCCTTTTATAAGTCTGGCAGTAGCAGAGTAGTTGCAGACACTTACTTAGCCAGCTACCATAATCCTTCTAGGTCTACCCCTGGCATGCACAGGCACATTCCAGGTTTAATGCACAAAGACTGTTCTGTCACCAAAGTTTTCCAACATACATTTACAGAAGAGACTGAAGGCTCAATTGTGGCCCAGGTACTAGATTTTACCTAAGTTACTCTGGTGTTGACAGCAATTTATGTCAGACTGCAGCTGAAAACTGGACCAGCATCCCCCAGGGACTGCAGGATTAATATTCACTCTGAGCTCTAACCTGCACTGATGACTCCTTGCTGCCTCCAGCACCTGTACCATTGCATGTGTTACCTTACTTAGAGCTGTGCCTGCCCACACCATAATCACTTTTTCACACGTCTACATGGACCTGGCTTCGCCCTCTAAAACTGGCAAGGCCTTCCCATAAAGAGGAGACAGCAGACTGACACACATCTGCACCTCTAACCACCTTGAATCCCTGTGAAAGGAGATGCTTGTGTGAGCATGGGTGTCCAGTAAAAGCCAAGCAAGTACACAGTCTGAACAGACAAAAAGAATAGCATGTGTAACATTAAAGCTACCACCCCAAGAATTGGTGAAAAAGAGCTAGGACAAATGTGAAGAAATTTGATTGGTGGTGGTGGGTAAAAGCATGTATCGTGGGGAAGAAAGAAGGATGGAGAGCATAGCTGATTGAATCAAACTGGTTAAACCAGGAAGTAATGTAAAAAGGGCAAGGAGGAAGCGGAGAGGGAAATAGGAGAGAAAATAAATGTCATTGTGAAGAAGGAAGAAAGGAATAATATGAGGAGAAATGTAGTGTACACTGAAGTGCATTAGATGGCAAAAATAGCATCTTACGTGCTAAGGCAAAGTTAAAAGGAGGGAGAACAATCATACACTGAAACTTTTTTACTCTTGAATATCACATATATTGCAGTCCTGATGATCTCAATGTTTAATTGGGGATGTGGCCATGTTGCTTATGGAATTTGGAAAGATAACTATATGTGGTTTAAGAATCTCATGTGAATCGATTGTAAGTGCTTTCAGGAAATAAGTAACCTTACTTTAACTTCAGAAATAGCTGATTTAAAATGCTGGGTTTATTCACTGCGGGACAAAGGTATCCCTAATTTTATTACAGTAATAAGCATCGTTCACACTATAACTACAGTAAAAGTTGATGTAATAAGACTGTATCCTGTTCTGTACAGGAGTTAGAACCAAGTGGAGCCCTCTTTCTCCACATCACTCAGTGAAACAAAGGGGAAAAGTGATTATTTTTGTTTTTTCTGAGGTTCTTCTCAATTATCCACATCCTATAGTTTAAACAACTTCCATGTCATGCTGCCGTGAACTCCTTTAGAGCAGTGTCCAGGAATCACAGAAGAGCACTGACCAGAACACATTGCACTTTGCTTACCTGCAGCCACCGAATACTTTGGATCCTGTCCCCCAGCTGTGAGGTCCATGGTGACATCTAGGGGTTGTTCAAAACGCCACCATGGCTGGTTTGGGGACTGCAGAAAGGAAGTCAGGGGAGGAGGGGTAGCATATCTGAGTGCACTTTCCTTTCTGAGGAGCTTTTAGTTTATACGGGCAGGCAAGTGAGGGAACTGGTAGACCCAGAATAAGGTACTACAGAAATAGTTTTCTACTTTGTTGTTTGAAAATAATGACAGAAAACAGTTGCATTCATTGACTTCACAGATCTAGGGAGCTGGGGAAAGGATGTGGAAAAGGAGGGAAGGGTGAGTCCAGGGGAGATCCATCACAATGTGAAAGAAAGTGCAGATGTTGAAGTGAGAGTAAACAGTCACAGAGGTAAGAGCATCAGATCTCATGAGGAAATGAAGAGAAGTGAAGAATGGGCAGAGGAAGAGGATGAAAGGGAAAGTCTCATAATTGTTTTTCTAACTGTTGTTTTGAAGATTTGATGGCATGTCGAGAGAACCACAACCTCACTGGCCTGGCATGGTGAATAGCAGGTGGAGCAGAAACAGGAGGATTCAGGGATGGTTCTGGATAGTCAACCTTGAGGCCAGGGCCTGTAGATAAGCAGTGCTTTGGAATCCCTTGCCTTTCAGGTGGTTCTTGTACACCTGAGAAATCTTGCATTTTTCCCCACAGGCTGTTGAATTTCTTTCCAATAGGATCTTCTCAGTAGAAAATGGCAGTCCTGAAAAGCTGAGTCATCAATACTTCTGCTCAGCATTACAGAGTGGCAATACTATCTCCCAGCTGGAGATTTTTGTGTTCAGCATTTGTGACCTGTGCCCAGCCCACAAAATACTAACAGCCTTCTTTTCCTCGTCAGGAGGGCTTGTCTGCTTACTTTTGAAGGGGTGGGTAAGACTTGCTGGATTTGCTGGCTTCTTGGCAGAGAAGCACCCTTTGAAAGGCAGAGACCCAGTTCCTGTTGGTGCTGTCACAACATGACTTCTGCAGCACTCTGTGTGGAGTGGTGTTTCAAAGGCAGAGGCAGTGCCAGTGCCATATTGCTCTCTCAGATCAGTCTCCAGCTCTACAGAGGAACTGTGCTACCCTGCAGTAAAACTGATAGATGAGCAGGATCTAGACTGAGCTTTGTGCAACTGTCTGTATCCATCCTAAAGATTTGCTTCTGGAAGACTCAAGACTGGAACAGCACCATGACCAAGCACTCAAATCTCAATCCATCATGTGCTTGGTGCATAAACAGCACAGTCGTGAAGAAATGGGAATGCTGGCAGAGCTTTGTGCAGCAGTGGTGGGCTATGTTTGGTAGCCTCAGGCACTCGGGCAGGTTTCTGGAGAGCTTGAGCCTGGCCCTTCTACAGCATCTCTGGGCAGGGGCTGATGGCACTGAGGGGTCTGGTATGGGATTCTGAGACATGAGCAGGGTTGGAGGAACCTGTTGGCAGGGAGG